CATGTGCCAAACACCTGCAGTTAATGTAATCATTACATATGTACTAATAAAAGTGGGGAGAATAAATTCTCTTGTCCAGTACGTCCATAAGACACTTGTACAGGTAGGAATGAGAGTGGGAGGAATTATACCGGAGAGTCTCTGTTTCCAGACCTAAGAGCAATCTAAATGAGAAGGACTCTCGAGGTAAGAAAGGACAGCCAAGCTTGGACATTTGGGTCAATGAAGTATTAAAAGTGGCTCTGACACTTTGAATTTAGAGGATGATTTAGTGCTTTTGTCTTTATTAGGGAACACAAGGATAACAGCAGGTTTTTGCTTATAGTCTTGTGAATATGGGTTATGAATTTCAGCTAGGTATGTGCCTATTTTAAATGAACTCATAACATCAAGTACATAAGTGTAATGAATGGAATTTTGTTACAAACTTTATATTATGGAAATATAGGGAAAACCCTAATTTCTCCCAAAACCCTCTGAAAGTGTTCATTTGAATGCATTGTGAATTATGTCTAGAAACCATCCTTTCTTTCTTTCTTTCTTTCTTTCTTTCTTTCTTTCTTTCTTTCTTTCTTTCTTTCTTTCTTTCTTTCTTTCTTTCTTTCTTTCTTTCCTTCCTTCTGTCCTTTTTTGTTTCCACATACTATTAACACCATAGGGAAGAAATATGGAGATAAGCCTTCTATGTTGTAATTCTTGACACTTAGCCAGCAGCCTCATGGATACCTTCAAAGGACTCTGCAGCTCTTTCTGTCCTTTGAATCCAAGGATGGGGATGAATTTAGGTCCTTTTTTCCTTTCACAATGTATCCTCACACACATTTACAGCTGCTTTATTATTCTGTTTCCAGACACTTGATTTGTAAACCAAATCAATTTCTAAGTATTTAGCTAGTTCATTTAAAAAGTTCTGCATCCAGCCTATCTGATTTCATCCTTAATTTCTTCTGTGACCCATTGGTTATTCAGAGGTTTGTTGTTCAATTCCGTGTGATTACGGAATGCTTGCGGTTTATTTTGCTATTGATCTCCACTTTCATTGCACTGTGGTTTGATAATATGCAGGGAATAACAATTCCTTTGTATGTGTTGTATGAGCAAGTATGTATTCTATTTTGGAGAACAACCCATGTAAAGCTGAAAAAAATGTGTATTCTGATGTGGGGTGTAACACTCTGTAAACATTTGTTAGGTTCATTTGTTCAAGAGTTTGATTGAGTTCTAGTATTTTTTGTTTATTTTCTGTCTATTTGATCTATCTATTTGTGATAGTGCGTTCTTGAGTCTCCCACTACTATTGTATTCATGCTTATTTGATTTTTCTTGTTAGTTATTTGCTTTATATAGTTGGCTGCACTAATGTTTGGTGCATATATATTCATGACTGTCATCTCTTCCTCTTGGATTGTTCCCTTTATGAGAATGTAGCGTTCTTATCTCTTTTAATCAGTATTGATATGAAATCCATTTGATCTCCAAAAATTATAGCTGTTGCTCCAGTTTTTTTTTTTGTTCGTGTCACACGGAGTGATGTTTTCCATCCTTTAACTTTCGTTCTATGAGTTTCTTTTTGAATTAAATGTTTCTTGTAAGCATATTTTACTTCTTGATCCATTGGATCTTACTTCTTGACCCATTCTGCCAGTCTATTTCTTTTGATTTTTGAATTGAGGCCATTAACATCCTCTTTCTCATGAAAGTATCTTATTTCTCCAGCAATTTTGAAAGGTCATTTTTCAGAGTACATCCGTCTGGGTTGGAGATTGTTCCCTTTAGGGCTTGAAATATGTCACTCCACACTCTTCTTGCCTTGTATGTTTGTGTTGAGAAGTCTGGTGTCATTCTGATGGGCTTTCCTTTGTATATGATTTGTTTTTCACTAAACTGCTTGTAGAATTTTGTTCTTCTGTTGGGTTTCTTGAATCTTAACTATTAAATGTCTAGGTGTAGACTTTTTTAATCATGGCTAATTGGAATCCTATATGCCTCATTTATATCTATGCCAAGTTCTTTTACTCTGTTTTGGAAGTTTTCTGCCATTAATTCTCTGAACATTTTTTATGTCATTTGCTCTTTCTCCTGTGTCTTCATTGACTGTAATCCTTCTTATGTTATTCTTCTTTGCATCATCTAGCAGCTTCTGGATTGATTTTGCATGGTGATTGTTTTGAAGACATTTTTCTTTTCCTGATCACTAATTGCAGTCCTGCCATTTATATCTGAAGTTCTGTTCTCATTTTGGCTCATTCATCTGTGTAAACTTTCAATGCAGTTTTTAATCTCCTGGAAATCTGTTTGCATCTGTTTTATGGGTTCCCTTTTTTTCCTGTGTTGGGATTCCATCATGTTCTTCAGCTTCTGTTATTCTTTATCTGTGTCTGCTCTAGATTTATTAATCATGTCTTGCACTATGGTCATAATCTCTGTTGTTTTGTGTGAACTTATTTCTGATTTCATTTTTTTCCTGATCCTCTTTTGTTGCCAGTTCATGGAGTATGATATTGTATGAGATTTTTGAGTATGAGATTGTTCCATCTCCTTTCCCTTTGGGGTTGCCTTACGAGATCTGGAATTCTGGTTTTTAGACTTTTTTATGTGTCTTCTCATTTCAACAGATGTGCCTTCTACTTCTCTGTTAACATGACTTTTTGCTCACCCAGTGGTCTTCAGTTCTCAGCAAGCCACTGAGAGGCCTTTTCTCTGCTTCTTACCTCTGTGCCAATTTCTGTGTTCAGAGTTGTGGCCTTCTGCATCTCTGCACTGCCCTTTTGACCAGGCAGGTTTCTGGCTGGATCCTATGCACTCTTGGGATGGTGTCTGGGTATGCCTCTGGCTGGGGCCTGCCCTCCATATGTAGCTGTTTGAGAGATGGTTATATCTCCAGTGTGATATATACACAAACTACATACAGTCAAAGAGATATCAGGGACCCACAGTGACCTTTTGAGTCATAATAAGGATATTTCCATTGATTTCCTTCAAATTAGAAGAGAAACAATCAAAGATTTTTGAGAAGTAGTAAGGTCAGACATATGAAAAAAAGAAACACTTTGGCCACTTTACTGGAAATTATTTAAAGCAGTCAAGTGTGGAAGCAATTAGACTTGTTAAGAGTATGGTGTAAAATGTAATAATGCAGGAAATGTTGAGAGCTTATACCACAATAGCAATGAGTCAGTGCAGAAGATGACAATACAATATAACTTTAGCTGGAGGTGCATCTGTTGAAGGCCAGACCTTAAGATAAAGATGGAATGACCAGGCCACATGCCTCCTTGAGGGATAAGCAATGAAAGATTATATTATAACGATATCACCTGGTCTAATAAAGTCTAGCTAGACATCAGTCACCTAGGTAGGTGACCAGAACTTCCTGATCCATCCCTTCCTAAGAAGGTTTTTGTTCTTTCTATATATACTTGCTACATGGCCTTCTTCCCCATTAGATCAATATTACCTAAGAGGCTATACTTGTAAATAAACATTTACTCCTTTAATTTTGAGTGTTAGGTATTTTGTCTCAGCAATGAGAAAGGTAACTATGACATCATTTTCCCCATAACCCACTTTTGTAATTTCTTTTATTTAATTGATCACAAAATTTAAATAATTTTGCTCTTAACTCTCACTAGCATTTATTTCTATTCCCATTGGTTTTAACCACACACACACATAATATATATAATATAATGTATATATATAATATTTTTATTTTTCTTTGCTTTTCTTAAGATAATAATGGCTGCCCATGATAAGAGATTTATTTTAAAAACACAAATAATTAAAAAAATACCAACCACATTATTTGAAGTTGTCTAGCTAAATTTATTGGCATATATACTACCAATGATTTTATTACATACTGCTTTAAAATTTATATTGTAAATTTCTGCCTACATCATAATGTTTGACAGAATTGTATTTAACATGAGCTGCAGGGTTGTTCTATGTGTAATGTTTTTACCTGAAATATGCTTTTAAAGTATGGGCATGTACTGTTCAGATCTTGTACTGTAGGGAACAAAATTTGCCAAAGGCCCCAGTTGCTAGTCTCTCAGATTGATTGAAAGTCCACACTTCCTGTGGGTCCCTTTCAGAGAAAGGTATTTAATTAGGTACTTGTATACAGGCATGGTACTTCATCAGGCCCATTTCTAGGAGATTTGAGATTCCTCTGACTAGTGACTTTGGCTGGAGATCTTGAAAGACATACAATTTTCCACAGTACTATGCACACCTTGTCTTTCTCCCTTTTCTGGCACATTTCCATGAGTATAAAGGCTTTCTTTCTTTTTTTTTTTGTTTTCCTTTAGCTCCTCTCCCATTTTCTCTGAGGCCTTTCAATTTCCCATAATTTCTTTTACACTTAATCCCATCTTGGCATCTGCATCTGAAAGCTCCCTACCACAGATATTCAGGTTATTTTCAAATTATAATTCTATGCAACCAGATTAAGAAGCTTCTGATTGCTCATTTTTTTTTTTGCACAGCATTCTTCTGTTGGAAGCCCTAGAAGACACTGCCTTTACCTATTATATTAAGCCCAGACTTCTGTCCTACATACTGTGCTCCCAGCCAATTTTCCCAACCCCCCAGAGCTCTAGTCGAGACCAATGCCTGTTCACTAAATATTCTTCTTCTCGCCTCACCTCTGCCTGCTCTAAAGAGAACATCTGTCCAATAGGATGCTTCCTTTATTCTGGATCCTTTCTTCACTTTGCACTCCAATGTCCTTTCCCCTCCATTCTAAAAGTGTAGAAAGGATTTTATTCAGTGTTTTTTTAGTGTGTGTGTGTGTGTGTGTGTGTGTGTTCATAGGAATGATATGTGGTAACTGGTATTGTGTGGTAACATCTGAGCACTTTTTTGTATGTATTTTTTGTTACTGTAGTATCTTGAGCTATCTTTCACCCTGGGAAAAGATTAGTAGCTTGATGCCTGCAAAAGGCCATAGAAAACATGGGCTCAGTATGTTTTCTCTAAATGTTACTTTATTGGAGGAAGAACATAACAGGAGAAAAGTGCAAAGATGGAGGTGAATCTTAAGGGGAGGAAGCAGGAGGCACCTGACTCCAGGTCTCAGGATCCTCTGAACCGTGCGAAAGGCAGCCTGTAGCTTAGTTCTGCTTGTTTACATTTCCAAGGGTGTGTTTGTCGAAAAGGTACTCTGCTAGGCCAGAATCTGGGGCCCCCATGGTGACTAAGTTGTGCACGTGGTCGCCTAGTTCTTTGATAGACTTCACCTGCTCATGAAGGAAATGGGTTTCCAGAAAGTCGCACAAATGGGGGTCGTCTCTGCCTGAGGCCAGTGTGTGCAGTTCTAGCAAGGACTGGTTCACATTCTTTTCCAAGACCAGGGCGCACTTCATGGCGTGCAGCCCGCTTTCCCAGTTATCCTGGTCAGGTTTCTTGACGTCCTGCAGGCAGATCCGGCCACCTCGCTGGTTCTGCAGCCACATCAGCTTCTCCGCGTGCCCTCTTTCCTCCAGGGACTGGCGAAGGAAATACCTGGAGAAGTTGTTCAAGGCCACGTCATCCCGGGAAAAGTAGTAGGCCATGGATAAGTACACGTAGGAAGCGTACAGCTCCAGGTTGATCTGACGGTTTATCGCAGCCTCGGAGTCGGGGTGAAAGTTCTGGCGCACCCGCGGAGGCCCCGCGGAGTCTCCCGAAGAGGCCGCAGTGGCCAGCAGTCGTCCAGGGGCGCAGGCCAGGGGCGCCATGCGGGGACCCTCGGCCTGTGCAGTGGGAGTGAAGCTGAGCGCTCTGCTCAGGGACGCCAGCGAGGGGCCGAGCGGCCTGCAGAGGAGCCAGAGACCTGACAGCATGGTTCCTCCTTCTCTGAAGAGGGGAAACGGAGGCCAGGTGGGCTCAGCGCTTGGTCTGGTAGCAGGGGCGTCGAGTGTGAATCAGAACGCGGTCCTAGGTGACACCAACTGTGTCACATGCCCCTTCCCGTTCACCCGCAGGGTTCTACGCAAGAATGCCTGGTGGACACTGGGCGCGGCAGAGTCCGTTCAGCTCAGTGTTGCCGCTCCTTCTCCCAAGGTTCCTGTCTTTGGAGTTTGTAATTTGTTACTTGACCTGTTAAAAATGCTGGCTTAGGGGTAGGTGCTCTGACTTGCAAAAGAGAAGCTGTTTTCGTTCTTCCTCGTTGATCTTTTCCTGTGCAAGGAAAAGGGGTGGAGGAGGAAAGGCCGGAAAAAATCATCAATTCATCTGTGAGAATAAAGGCGGGGCGGGCAAAGCCCCTGTTTTTAGATTGACTTCCTGGTTATTTTAAGTAAAGAATATTTCATTATTTACAAATGTAAGTAATGAAATAGTTGCCTGTATAGTAGACAACTTTTCAAGTGCCTATAAACAAGACAGTGCTTTCTTTGAAGACCGATTTTAATATATAGAATTTATCTTCATGGTAAAGAAATCAGATAGTATAGGAAAATAGAAAGAATGTACAAAAATTCTGTAAACAATTTTACTTTTCATTAATGTGACATATTTAAAGAACTTCTTAGAATTAAATTCCAAAGAATAGTCTTAGAAGAATATTTAAAATATTGTTGCAAAACATTAAGAAAATGAGGATAAGTTCTCAGAAGAAAATCTAAAATATCTTAATTCTTTCTCCGCCCAGAAATAACTATTGTTAAAATGTTGATGATAATTTTGATAGAAAGATGATGAGAAACATATATCACAGACATGTAAAAATACATATATACATTTTAACAGCTTTACAGGGGCATCCCTGACATAATAAACTTTAGATACTTATCTCAGATTGACATGGCGTGATTTTTGCTTCTATATGTGAAACCATCCCCGAAATCAGGACAATGAACATATTCATCACTCCTTGAAGTTTTCTCATGCCCCTTTTCATTTGAATCATCTTTGTTCTTTTTTATTTTTGTTTCTACTTTTTTTAGTACATATTTGTAGTACAAAATGACTGCATTCCCTATAAGGAATTGGTATATGTACATAACACAGTTCAATTTTTTTCTCCTTCCCTTCACCCCTTTTATTTTTCCAGCATCAGATTCATTTATTTATAAAGTTAATTATCATATAAACAGATTGAAAACCAGACTAACAGGCCAAATGACATATACAACATGCAAGAGAATTGTACTAAATCATGGTTCACTTTTAGATACATTGTCTCTGCTGGATTGCAATACTTTTTCCCTCTCTCTGTTTTCTCCATGCCCTTTTGTACTTTGTAATCCCTTTCTTTCTCCCTCTGCCTGTCCCATCCCATCCCAGACAACCACTGATCTGTTTTTCTTCATTATATAGGTTTCTAGAATTCTATACACTATACGTAGATAAGATAGTATGTATTTTTAAAATCCATGATTTCTTTCACTCAGAATAATTATTTTGTGGTTCATCCCCATTGTAACTTGTATTAATTACTTCAATTTACTTTTTAGTATTATAACGTTATTAGTTTTGACACAGTTTGTTGATCTTTTCACATGTTGATGGACATTTTGATTGCTTACTGTTTTGAATATTAAAACAAAACTGTGACAGATATTCCTGTGAACGTCTTTGTGTGATTGTTTGTGTTTCTCTTGGGTAACACCTTGCAATGAAGTGGATGGGTCCTATTATAAATGTATATTTACATTTTTATGAAACTTACAAACTGTGTTCTAAGGTATTTGTACCATTTTATATTCCCAGTCAACAGTGTGTGTGAGAACCCAAAGTTTCTTCATGTCCTTGCTAATGCTTGGTATTGTCACTCATTGAATAGTAAGTTTAAAATGTTTTACTTTTAGTTATTCAGGTAGGTAAGTACTGGTATTTCACTGTGTTTTGAGTTTGCATTCCCATAATAATGAAATGATACTGAATGTATTCTATGTGCCTCTTTGCTATCCATATTCCTTTGAAATATGTTTAGATATTTGTCCATTTATATATTGGGACATTTGTTTTCTTATGGTTACTAGAATTTTATGGTTAATATCGTCTTTGATATTAGTACTACTTCTAGTTGGGCCTTCATTATGTTATTTGTATATTATTTCATCTATTGCTTTCATTTATTGACTTCTGCAAGTCAGATTATCTTTCTAGGTCAGTTTCCTCACATAAATTTAGGATACTACTTATCATCCATAGGTAGTTGAAAAACTAAATAGGGGAATTATGCATGAGCCCTTATTATAGTACTTGACACAATGTAAGCATTCAGAATATCCTTTAATAGATTCTGTTGCATAATTTCTGTTGTCTTCAAAATTAGTCATTTTATATTATTCAGTAAACTAATACTACTATTACTGAATGTGGGAAGAATTGTACAGCTTACAAAAATACATATGTCGTACTGTCATCATGTATAGGTAGTGAGGTAAAATTGTTTTTATGTTGGAATATCACATTTATACTTTAGTTGTAAGCTACTGGCTCTTTGAGAAGCTTCTTAAAGTGTGCCATATATAAAATTAGATTAAGATCTACTACACTTAAACTCTGCCAGTAGAATATGATTTACAGTCATGAAGCAATTTCTTATTTTCACTTTTCTACACTTATTTTACTTTTACTTCCCCACAAATTTTGCCATTTGTAAAATGAAGTTCCCTAGTATGAGGTTATGAAAATGACTGTGGGGTATAAAATGCTCAGTTAGTGTTTTAGGAAAATTGATAATCTTCATATAAATGTTTATCTGCAAAATAATAAAATGAATATGTAGAAAGCAAATGCAATACACAAAATGTGATGTAAAACAGTGCCCTAAAATATAATACATATTTAGATGTTAATTTGTCAAAAATGACTCTTATTCCCATTACAACATTTGTCATATAATTTACTAAACTTTGAGAATGTGAAGATATGGTAGGTGTTATATTTATCTATGGACATTTTGATTCCTGATATTCACAGTAAAATTAATGATGCTAATGAGAAGAGAGTAGATTTGAAGGGCCCAGGGTTTTAAGTCTTCTTTCCATTGCCGAATAATAATGTATATTCTTTTGTTTGTTTGTTTGTTTTTTGTTTTTTTGAGACAGGGTCTTACTGTGTAGTTCAGACTGCTCTGGAACTCACTGGGTAGCCCAGGCTGGTCTCCAACTTGCAGCGATTTTCCTGACTCAGCCTCCTGAGTGCTGGGATTGCAGGTGTGCACCACCATGCCTGGCCAATGTATATTCTTTTGATTGCTTGAGAGATTTTATGAAATGAGAAAATTCAGAAACATACACACATTTATGTGAGGAGTAAGTCTGCTAAGTGCTAGAACTTTGCAAGGATGGTGTGGTTCATTATTGCTAGTCAAGTTATCCAGCAGAGGGTTATTTTGTCTCATGATTGGACCTAGATAAATGATGATGATTGATGACTATAAGTATATTCTGTTTTCTGCATTTTTTGTGGGGGGTATGAGAGATTGAACTCGGATCCTTGCACTTATGAGGCAGGCGGTGGAACCACATAGCCAAATATCTGGCCCTTCTGCATGTTATTTCTTAAAATTTCCAGTATTGGCAACAAGTAAATATATTTTCAAAATATTTTTCTTTGCTTTAGGGGATAATATAGGTTGTAATTAAAATTTTTGATAATGATTAATAATTTAATTCAATTATTTTGAACAATCTTTGCACTTTAAAACAAGATATAATGATTTAGCATTTAAACATAAACTTCAAACCTTCAGTTGTTATATTGAAAAAAGGTAATAGTCACTGAGTACTGGTGTGTGTTAAATTTTATACAAAGCTAGACAAGAACATTATTTCACTGAATCTTCACAAAGGCATTGTGTAGTAGAAATCAGTGTATTAATTTTTTTTAGTCCACAAGTGCAAGAGAATATACATACATTTACCTCGTTTTATAGTTTTATACTGTATGAATGGATCTAGGAAAATATTTCTAATAATTTTGCTTTCAATAAAAGTAAGGGGAGTATTTTACATATTGGATAGCATGACAATGATATCTTTTTATTTTTGTTTTTTGTTTTGTTGAGACAGCGTCTTTCTTTGTAGTTCATGCTGGCCCTGAGTTCACTATGTTGCCCTGGCTAGGCTTGAACTCATGGTGACCCTCCTGCCTCTACCTCCAGAGTACTGGGATTAGAGGCATGTGCCACCATGCCTGGCAATTGTCATTCACAGTTTAAGGTCTTTATTCATAGAACACTCATAACCCAGAAAATACATGGCCAGAACAAGCATGTCATACACTATTACGTAATGATATTCTACTTCTCTTGCTTCTTTAGAAGATAAAGTATTTCCGTGAAACAAAACAAATCACAAAGATTGCTGAAATCTTGTTGCTGGGTAGTTTATAATTGACCATAATTTTTTACTTTGAAACTCCCTTGGACTATTTTCTGACACCTCCTTGCAGTCTCCCAGACTTTAATTGTCTCATTATGACTATTTGGACTAAAGGGACATGAGAATTTGATTGTTTTTCTCTTAAATTCTTTTGTTGGTTTATTTTAGGTATCTAATTCATTTACATTCATCATTGGGAACTTATACCTTTACATGATGTATCTTGGTTCTTTTCTCCCCCCCATTCTACTGCCCTCCATTCAACCCCTCCACACCTCCCTGTTTGCAAGAGCTTTGTTTCTATTTATTTCTTGTCTCATATTTTTTTCCTTCTCTTTTTTCCATTCCCATACCCCCACTTTCCCTACCCCTGACTATCTTTTCTTCTTATTTCACATTATCAATTATTCATCTCAATTCTTATTTACACTTTCAGTTTCTCATACCAGAGAAACTACTCGGTATTTACACATGGTGTGTCCTATTTATTTCACTTAATGGTATGTCATCAGTGTGCATCAATTTAGCTATAAATGTCTCTAATTTCTCATTTTTATGGCTTAATGCTCCATTTTATATAAAAAAGCACATTTTCTTTA